GAACTCCCAAGACCCCGTGTCCGCCCTTCTAGAGTTCTCTGTTAGTCAGGGCGGGCCGGGTGATGACGGCTCACAGGCTTAGTCGGCAACAGCACACAACCCCGAATATATATGGAGGCGCGACCCCGCAGGCGAGATGAAAGTAGGTGGTGGTGGTGGTAGTAATCAGGTGCTGCCCGTCGGTGACGCCTTCTCTGATTACGCGCCGCTCCAGGCGACACCCCGGACTGTTTGCACGCGGGTGTGTGCGTGCGTATGTCTGTGCCTGTTAGGCGTCACACTTGGGAGGGGACATCCGCTCGGCCCGATTAGCGGACAAGACTCATACCCCCCCCCCCTCACCTTCCCGTCTCCCCCCCCCCGTCACCCTTGGGGTCTCGGGCCCGCACAACCAAGCCTCGCCTTCGTGCCACGCGGATCAGGCTGGCTTCGCGCAGGCTTCAAGAGTGCAAAACAAGCACCAACACACACAAATCACGGTAGACAGGCCCATGATCTGCCAAGCGCAACAAAGGGTGACAGCCTTCGGTTGGTGGCACCAACGACTGAGAAATAAATCCGCTCAAATAACTATCCGACACTTTTCCAGGATTCATAAAAAGACACCACGGACCTAATCACAGCAGCATATGGCCGAAAATGTGTAAAACTAGGGGTTGCTTATCCTGTCGACTTTGCGTTAGCCGTGAGTTCAGTGGACTTGCATCCCCAACACCAAAGCAGTTGCTCAGAAAGCGATGTTTACTTGGGGGTAAATAATATTTTATCCGTTCAGCGCTATCATTGTGTGCTGGGCTGGACAATAGCCTAATAGAATGTATGACGTCTTACGTCTCCTTTAAATAAACTAGAAAATCGAGAAGTAAACTGCTCAAATCATTTATTCTTCCGGGGAATAGAGGTTATGATTGCACAGTTGATGCTTTTTGTCGTAGTAAAAAAAATTGGGTCTGGGATCTTATTTAGAAAAAACTAACATGTAGTCGGTTTACTAGTGTCTCTGCGGAACCTGAAAGAAACTGATACTTGCGGAAACCCAAGATCCAGACGAACAAGGTCCTAGTACTAACTAAACCCAAAATTAGTTCTCGGATTGACACTACAGGTTTCTGCCACTTTTAGATTTTTGGCTATGGCGAACCCAGAGTGACACAACCCACAGCCAATCAGGACCCTGACTAACACTTGACGTAGGAGGCATACTGGAAGGGGTCCTTGAAGAAATCTGTCTGTCGTATTATAATCTTGCCTACCTACCCCTTCGCATTGGCACCCCGTACTCGACAGGCTTTGGAGTTTGCTACTTCAGAATTTACTGTAAATCGTCATGTCTGCCGGTCCTATAAAGCATCCTACGAACATTGGATGGTTCTGAGACATTTGGGCTGTCTTCAGTATTTCCCACGTGCATCATTGTGTCCTCGTTATCCGTTAGCGTCACCGTAGAACAGAGATTTTGGTCGGAGCCGGCCTGACATCCTCACAGCCTGCTCAGGCCATCAAAATGGGATCGGCCTCGACATTGTAAGCTATTGAGCATGTCTGCCGACTCCAGGTTTCGAATATTCAACAGCCGCCTGTGTTACTTCGTTTACGGAATTTTCCAGAAGTAGACGAGAGGAAGCTAACTAAACTTTCTCCTTCTCTGGATTTGTGGATGATCATGTTTCTGCTTTGTAAAGCAACGTATTGAGCACCGCGGCCTTGCACCAATTCAGCTTAATTCTGAAGACTGTAACCCAAGAGTTCGACCGCCGTTGCCATCTGTGTCCACCGTTTGTCCCACAGCATGGTAAGTGCAGGGACGGCGGCTTGCTCGTGAAACAGTTCATGGTGATAGTAGACACGCGCCGCTTGTACCACACTCTCTCCTCTCTCTCTAACCTGCCTGGATCCGGTGTCAAGATGCGGGCAGGGAGACCGGAGGCAGGATCGGGCACAGATGGTTGGCGTAACGTGACCCTGCGCCTTTGCGCGCCGCTACGCTCCTGGTCCGTGCACAATGGGCTGGAATTTAAAAAAGGGGGGATCCGAACTGAGTGGAAGTGCCATAACTGCCACCTAAAGAAGGAGCCATTCCAGCTTGATTCTTTGTATTGAAAGAAGGACCGCGTCATCGCGTCAGTTGGTGGCCTTCCAAGCCTCAGCTTTTGGTGTGTCGGGATAGGTTCAAGCGCATCGGATTGTTTATAATTGAGGGATGTTTCATATTGACCCAACTGTGAAAAACTGGGCACCCCGGTGGGACTCGAACCCACGTCAGTAAGGAGAAGGCTTTAGCCACCCGAGCTACGAGATCTCACCGGAAGACGTGAGTTTAACCACATTTACGTGAGTCTGGTAGTCATCTGGTGGATTCTAGGTGGATTACTTGGGAAATTCTGCTTGGTCAGTCAACTTTCTGTATCAGATTTAGTGAATTCCAGGCCTTGCAGTAGGCTGGGCGGGTAACTAGACCCAAATGTGATTAAACTAACGTCTTCTGATGGGCCTCGTAGCTCAGGCTGCTAGAAGGTTGACTGTATTAAAACCTTCCCCTTGCTGCCACGGGTTCGAATCCCACCGAGGCGCCAAGTTTTTAACTGCTGGGTCAATATGAAACATATATGAATGAGGAATATGCACTAAGAGGCGACCTAACTCTCTCTTCCCTCTCTAAAACACCAGTCGGCTGACCGAGCCGGTCAGTAAACTGGTGTGGGAACTAAGCGCAGTGAGTGACGGGGATGGAGAACCCGACTGCGCGTGTTACACATACGACCCGGTCTCCCACGTAACGCGGCAGGATTTCACACAAAAGGGGTGGACGGTTTGAGTCTGAGATGTGGAAGAGTGCTGGAGATTATAACCCACTGATTGCTAGACTGACATTGGATATCAGAGATACGATTTGGTTATCCACTGGGATGTATCGTAAGCTAGCATGCCCACAACCGCGAGACTACGCACCTCGATACCGATCGTCAATTCGCTGTGTCCACTAGCCGGCAGGATATGCGTATTCTCTCTGTTGATATTCATCCGAAGTGCTGGAATGCAGAGGTGAGAGGATCAAGGAAATGTTATGTGTCTACTTCAATTGTTCCGTCGAGTGCTCGATCATCGGCGATCATGTGCACACTTCGGTTGCACGGTTTCCTGTGGGAGGTGGTTAACGTCGATTCTGAGAAATCGTCGTTGCAAACATTCGTTGGCATTGCAGAAAGTGAGCTTAAACATGGTCATGAGTAATTTTTAATCACCCCTTACTCCATTTGTTTCAGTGAAGTGGACTGACGTCGATCCGTTGTAGAAAATGCGATTTGGCGCACAGTCAATATTAATGTGAACCTCACTGCCCGGAGTATCATCATTTTCCAAACGGTTTGTTTTTCAGCGCCGGAGACTTTTTCGCAGTTGGACAAATGCAGAAAAGAAATTATTCATCACTTTTGGTACCGTTCTGCTCTTCTTGCAACACCCCTATTGCGGCCCTGATGGAAACTCCCGTTTCTGCCAGGCAAGATGCTGACTATGTTGCGTTATCATAGGAGTGCACCACGTTTATGGTCTTGGAGGCCTGACAGTTTCGTCCTCATCCTCATGTCTACTGGAAAGCATCGCCCTATTTGAAGACGCCGACAGCTACGGATCGGTCCGCGGACCTTTTCTCTGCAGATCTGCTCAAGTGATCGGACAGTTTTGCAAGAGGGTAGCTGGCCTTGGTCGACGTCATTTTCGACGTGAGAAAATTTGCCGACTGCCTCTTATAGGGCTCTAACCTATTGTTTGGGACTTTCTGAGAATGCCCTGTTCAGTAAGCCAGAATCGGAGATTTCTCAAACGCTGTTCGTCCCTTGGAGCTGAGGAGGGGAAGTTCGGTGGGTCGTGGGCTGGCTGCGTTGTTTCGCTTGTTGTCAAATATTTACGTTTGACGATTCAGTCGATCGGGGATATACAATGGTAGAGAGGCGCTCAGCGATCGTTCTTACGGAACGCACTCGTTCCCGATCGAAACCGACAGAACAACGGGCCCGTGGCCCAGTGGTTGGAGGCGTTAGACTTCTAACTAACAGGTCGCGAGTTCGAGCCTCGGATGTTCCACACTTCGGGATTGGGTATGACTGGCTGATGATGGTCAATAAGCCAGAAGTGGTCATTTCAGTCTCCCCTGTCTTTTTCGGTAAAAACATACTGCCTATATAATGTGCCGCTGTGCGACTGCCGGTTGAGATCGAGAGGGAGCCCGTAAGGCACAACGGAACGAGTGAGTTCCGTAAGAACGATCAGCACTTAGTTTGAATTTTAGAGAAAACTGTGTAAGTAGCTTGGATAATGTTCTCTCTCTCTCTCTCTCTCTCTCTCTCTCTCTCTCTCTCTCTCTCTCTCTCTCTCCAACCTCTTGGCGTCCTAGTGTTTCGACGGAAGCTTTGTCTCCGTTATGTAAAACACAGCTGCACGTGGCCGTAGGAAAGATCTGTATTCCATCAGTGTCTAAACTTCTTTCCAATAGAACCCCACTTAGATATAGAAAAGCGACAGAGAATTATCGAAAATACTGATTAACTTTGCAGTGAAATTCTGGTCGGGCAGTTCCGCTTATACAAGGGAAGCGCAACTCATAGTCCATTTTTCTCAAGAAAAATAAGTTTGTGTTCTCACCAATCGCAATTGCATTTGCAGAATGGTTAGAGTCAGAGTGCATCTCATCATTCATCAGAAAACCGGAAAGCGTGTCCAGATAAGCTAAATCTTTTTTCCTATTTAGCCGCATTCTTTACCATGCCTGTTTTTTTTCGCGATCAAAATCACACAACAAATCGGACATCAGGGATATTTTCGCCTATACCCCATTGGCGCTTTTTGCCGCTCCGAGGAAACGCCTGGCGGACTCTTAAGGCAACCTACCCAATTAGCTTCCGTCAAGATGCCTTCTGTCACCTCATTGGCTCCAATGCTCGTCGCGCGGCCGATGTCGCCGGCTAGTGAATTGTGGCGCACGCAGTTGCGGAAACATACAGATGGCCCATCCCTCGGGCTTCTACGGCGGCCACATGTTGACTACTTCAGCTGCCTGCCCGACGGGTCGCCGACGTGGCCGCAAACCCGGCCTGAACAGCAGCCTGGTTCAACGCAATGCCGCCAACGCTCGCGAACGGTCCCGTATGCGAGTCTTATCAAGCGCGTTTGTGGAACTAAAAGGTGTCCTTCCCTGGGTGCCGAAGGATACCAAGCTTTCCAAGCTGGATACCCTGAAGTTAGCTGCTGGCTACATCGCCTACTTGAAGCAGGTTCTGGACGCTCCACCATCCGCTACAAAACGCGCCGGGTGCAACAGTAATGATGAAGAGGAAAGTCTGTTGGGTAGTTTTCTACGCGACTCTATTGTCAAGGCCTCTCGCCCATCCTGGCCGGAATCACACAAGGCTTCTGCGACGTCTTCTGAATTGAACGTTCATGCCGCCGAACCGGACTTCCACAAGCACAAGGGGAAAGGTCAAGATTGTAGTTACCATTCAAGCGAATTCGCAGATCTCTCCACTGATTACAGAAGTTCCGATATAAGCACGGCCTTGTCTATGACGCAGTCGGTAAGTGTTGTGAAAATGGAAAACAGATTAAATTTAAACTCAGCAATATTTTCGTCCAAGTCTAACCCATTAAAATGATGTAAATCCTCATCGGCGCTACCTATTATTCCGATTGACATCGTCTTCACGTAAAAGAGAGGAAGTTAATTCAGGGTCTCTCATGTTTACTCAAGCTGGTAGGAGGCTCTGGCTGAGTTTGCCAACTCTGAAAGGAAGACCAAAAGGACTAGTTATGGCTTTCTTTATCGCCATTTATTGGTCATAATCTAAACCCAGACCAAGAAAACATATAACGTGGACCCCAACTCACCCTCATGAGGCCGAACTGGGATGCTTACAGTCTTAAACATTGAGCCGCAGACTTCGAGGCACTGGGGCAGGAGCATCCCATACAGAGCAGGCTTGTTCGGTATTATTGGCCCTTTGTGAAGGGTATACTTGGCAGGAAAACGGCATTCCATAAAGGAACCAGATGATATGACTTTGCGACTTCGTAACGTGCTTTCAAGGGGAAAACTGTTGCGTAGGAAGGCTTGAGACACTATTCTACTTTATTTCACACACGACGATGTGTTGGCTTTGGTCTAGAGACGTCTTCTGTCAACTGCCTAGAGTATACTCAGAAAAAGTGTCATTTTCATTGTGTGAAGAAATTCACGAATCATGCGAAAGTAGCCGGAAAACCACCCTAAGGCAGAATTCGCCCACACCATGCCTTACAAATCCGGAAGTTAGCGAATAGATAACTTTGTACCAAACAACGCTATATAAAATTATACTGTTACTACTTTTTCCGTAGCTGGAAACTATAAAAGCTGGCAATAACCACAGGAAACGCGGTAAGTGTGTACTGCAGGTGGGAAATCCCTCTAAAGTTTAAAGCTGCAGAAGGAGAGAAGCCAGACCCACAGGTCACGTTCTTTGGAAGATTTCGCTCAAAGGCTGCAGCTGTTTCGGAGCCTACTGCCTGTGAATCTTGGTAACATTCTGCCATTCGTTCGGCCGGCTGTCTAACCAGTAGACCGTTTCAGGCATCTCGATTTTTGTCATTTGAAACACCACTATCGGATTCTGCCCACCAGTGCTATAATTGGGGATAAGACGCGGTGCTGAGAGCCTACCCCGTAATGCACGCACCCATGTGCCAACTTTCGTGGAAATTGTGGCCAAAGTTAAGGTTAGAGTAAAAACAGGGTATGCGTTAAGGAAGGGTTCGGTTTAAAGTTGGGTTTTGGGTTAGGAGTTCAGACGCGGGAATAGGTACCCTTCCTGGAATTAAGCGTAAAGCCACCTGTAGTACAGGCAGGTTCATACTTCCACGTCTTGACTGATCCCGTGAGCAAGATCTGTTAACAGCAGTAGGATGCAAATATTGCAAAACGGGGCAAAATCTGCACAGCTTCCTCTGCCCAGAAAGTACTGAGAATAAGGCACCAAGTCATCTCTCCGTCTGGTTGCAATCGGGTGAGAGCAAAAACGTCTAACCACATAACCATCTGCCATGCTGAAAGCACAGGTACTAGCCAAAAGCCCAGACATGCGTGTTTGCGCATTAACTTCATCGAAACTTAAACAAGGCGGGATGGAACTGGAGTACCTATACCAGAAAATGCACGGGGAAAGCTGGGGGACCCACTGATGGGCCGAGTCCCTCGCAGTTGCGTAATGCGGCGGCATAAGATCGACGAAACACGCTTGTCTGGCTTTTGGCTAGTACCCGTGCTGTCACTTTAGTGAATAATTACACAGTTATATACCACTGGCTGCCTGGTGGCAGTTTCTAATACTACGCGGTTATTTCTCAGCAGTTGGCGGATTTCAGCTGAGATATTCACATCAACTTTCGGGCCGAATCTGACAAGGCCTGCTTCGAAGGATTTACTCCAAATTCGCACATTAATTTCCTCGGAAATTAAACAAGGCAAAAACATCTAACAGGTACTTCAACACAAACAGATGCTTATTTCCAACACGTATGAGAGATTGAAATGCAATCATGTCTCCCTCGGAAGTCGAATTTCACCTCACTGTCACATATGGTTTTTGTCAGCCCTTCCAACATACATGATGCAAACCACTCTCAGGGAGGGCGCAACTGAGTGAGCCCCTTAAACACGTCTTGGACCTCGAAGCATAATTCAGAATGGGCTGTCAGGAGTCAATCACTCTGAGAAGTGTTCCAGGGATGGCAAACTCAAAAAATGAATTGCCTAGTAGGACAGGCTATGGAAACTGATGAGAATAGCGGAACCGTGTCTGCACTTCTTGGTTTTGGGTCAAATTGCCTTCTAGGCATTTAAGAGTTATGAAACTTCCGCAGTGAGTCCAGCAATGGCAGGCGATTTCTTCCGCGAGACGAAAATATTTCCGAATCGCTGTGTTCCTCTATACTTTTTTGAATTATGCAACTCCTTATCGTACCACTTCTGAAAGAGTGTCCAGGTGGGAATCGATCGTCTCAGCGAATATTACTCTTATGTTATGGCGAAACTGCACTTAGCTCTTGCACTAAGGTGTCATATAAAGTCTTGTCCCATTTATAAAATACATGCCTAGACGTAACCAGTCTGGAAGACCGAGTATTTTTAGGCCACCAGTCGGGTCTGAAAGTTGATTCGAGCCCTTATAACCAGGTGTGTTGTTCGCAGGGTGTACGGATATTGTCCTTCGAGCTTGCTCATTAAGTGGGGCGTATTCTCTTTATCAAGGCGGACCGCAACTGTGCTTTTCGAATAAGTGCAAATGCTAAGCTCGAGAGTGTTCTAGAAAAGAAGTGTTTAAACGAATCACTTTGAAAATCCCCCTTCTAAATTTAAGCGTGTACCGATCTCTACTTAGTAGTATGCAAACCTTAAAGGTGGCGACCGTCAATGTGTCCGGATTGCTATAAGAACTTTCGTTTTGCCTTGAAGCTTCCATCTGGGCTGTCGCGTAGCAAAGAGTGATCAAAAAGTGAAAACATTTGCGAAGGGAAGTTAAAAATAAGTGGACTTCTATAGTCAGTCTCCAAAACAATTATATTTTGAAAAAGACTAGCGACGATTCAAGAAATCGACCATAAATCCGGAACATGGAGATGACAACGCGATGACCCGTCTAGCAATCCATGTCACACATCGCCTTGGTCACACTTTTGGACGGGGAAGTAGTCCAAAAGTAACGAGTGAAGCAGCCACGGTTGCATCCATATTGTCTGTCCTCCGGTAGGAGAGTGGAAGGTGTTAATGAGCAGAATACTGTGGCCCCTGCATACCTGTAGGAGGGAGGTCATTGCTGTTTCGACGCCGTGGCAGCCGAACACTCCCCTCCAAGTACCGTTGTGTCTATCAACAGGCGAGCAATGAAGTCAAAAAGAACGATCCATTTGTCGCAGGCAGGTTTCCGTAGAATTTGTCCTTTCCGTAACCGCGACCTGTCGTTGATAGAGGGTCAGCATGGGGAACGGCGACGAAGTTAAATCCGTAAAGTCGCGCTTTCTTGTTCAGAGGACGGTCCTTGTCCTCTGCGGGAGACGGACAGTCGTCCAATGACATCATTCCTGGGAAGGCAAGGACGATTTCGGAAGCTCGCCGCTCCGATCTTGTACGTACGCGCCAGAAAAAGGTGCATCCGTTTCCCAATCCCATAAGTTATCCTTGTTCGGGGAAGCAGGTCTCGCCCAGTGCCTGAGTGTTAACTTTGTAGAAAGCCAGGATATCTTCTTCTTTTCGATCATTTTGTGTTATCTAAGAGCTAACGAGCATCCCGGACAGCCTCTGTGCGTCGCCATCTCCGTAGCACTTTATGCTCTGGAACAGAGAAGGAGGATGGTAGTTCGTCCAGACAACACGGGACAAAAAGAAATGACGGTTTAACCATCGCATCCGACGATATCCACTGTGTGCTCTACAGCAAGGTGAAACAGGGACGGTGACTTGCGATTGAATGAGTTCAAAGCAATAGTAATCTACCGCCACTCTCACCTTCCCTACCTTCGCCCGGCGTCAAGACATAGTCAAGAAGACCGGAGGCGGCAGAGGGCGCAGGTAGCTGGTACAACCAAAACCTGCACTAAGGCGTACCACAACACCACGTGGTCCACAAAGTACACTGGCCAGGATTTTACACAACTTAAAAAATAGAGAGCGGCTCGGTTCCCAATTAGCGCAGCGAGGGGTTGCGCCTAGACGTGCTGCCACACCCCCAGTGTCGGCATCCATTATGAGTGCGCATTCCCAATAACGGAAAAGTCTCGCATCTCCATACGCTATTAAGAAGATACCACACGACGCTCATGAAATTTCGCGGTGGATTTGTACCACGCTGCAGACTTTACAAGCATCCATAGTTAGTGGACCGATAAGATGTTGTATGGGTGGACATTGCACGGGCTCAAAAAGTCTCATAATAAGAGGCATTTTAAAACAGAAGGACATCCTTCCTTTAATGGTAGGGGGCGCTCACCGATCGTTCTTACGGAACTCACTCGTTCCGTTGTGCCTTACGAGCTCTCTCTCGAGCCCAACCAGCAGCCGCACAGCGGCGCGTGATATAGGCGGTATGTCATTACCGACAAAGGCAAGGGAGACTGGAATGGCCATTTTTGGCTTATTAGCCGTCGTCAGTCAGTCATGCCCAACCCCGAAGTGTGGAACACCCGAGGCCCGAACTCGCGACCTGTTAGTTAGAAGACCACACCTCTAACCACTGGGCCACGAGCCCGTTGCCCTGTCGGTTTGGATAAGGAATATGCAATGGTAGGAGGCGCTCACCGATCGTTCCTTTAGACATGAAATTTAAATACGAAATTTGCTACTAAATGAGCACAAGAAAGAATATTGTTACGCGTGTTTTCTACGAAATATACTTGGATCTATAAGGGCATCGGAAATCATTAGGGGAAATGTATGTTGCCTAAGTAGTCATTTTCAAGCGTTTGGTTGTTTCAGGCAACCAAAAGAGAGCATGTTCAAAAGCAAGCATCCTTACGTGTTTGAAATATCTGGGGATTATGCTGTACAATAATAAATATTACAACCCTACCCTAGTAGTTTCCAGCTGAAAATGCATTTTGGAATTTCGACTAACATTTTATACTACCGTAGGGGTAGTGACTGCTTTAGCCGTCCTAGATGGTGTTGCGTATGTAGTCGCGTCATGCTTTGGGTGTTGTGTCCGCAGCAGTCTACGTCCTAATGCTAGTGTACCATCGTACCATGTCATCCAACCGCCATTCACCTACATCGAGGAAATGGAAGTGGCAGTAAATCTGCAACCGTATTTCGTACACCCCTTGCCGCCATAAATGCGACATCTTGCAACCAAGGCCAGAGTACTTTATGGCCACAGTATACGAGCAGCTGAACACGGAGTCCACATTGAAGCAGGGCAGGATTAAGAGAACCCCCTGTATTACAGGCGGCCTTACGCTAACTCCCACGGCGGTTTAGGGGTTGGGGTTAGCACACGGGAACAGATTGCCCTCTGGAATTCGGTACAAAGCCCCCTGTAGAATAAACGGTGCTTATGCCTGTGTCAAATCCCAACTACGTCACTGAGACAAAACGCTCATGCCAGCAGTGACGTATACCGAGTTATTCGGCTTCTCAGTACCAAATAACAGTGTTCTCAAGGCTTACGAATATCAAGCACGCGATCAACTGCCAGGTCACAAGCGCCCATGAATTTGCGCTTTAGAGAGTGTGAATAAGCTTGAACTAGCCGTTGTATCCGTTTATCTCACCATCGGTTTTCCTATCATATAACTTTAACTGTTTTGGAGGGGTATTTTGCTGCGATAAGGATTAGGTTCTTTTTTAAACCTAGCTGCTTTGAATTCGGGGACTTGTATTCTTCAATTAAGTACGGTCCTTACTGTACACATTATAATGTATGCATTCCATTTTGCATGCAGTCCTGCTGATGCTCAATTACTGCCCAAAATACAAACAAGTGATGCAGCGATTACTCTTCGACTTTTTAAGTGCCTCCTGGTCACCGGCAAACTAACGTATTTAGAGAAAATAAGGAAGTTTACGAGACACCTAGAAAAGCATCACTTTCTTAATTATAATTGTAAAAAGAACATACATTACATGAAAAATTAGTCAGTCGTGCAGTTGTGCCTCTTTTGCCGATAATTTCTAGGCCGCAAAGGCTCTTAGCTGTTAAGTTTTTGATGAACTGACAGTTTTTAAGCAAAACAGAACAAAACCGATCATGTCTTCCCCATCACATAACTCGTCATGAATATTTAGTATTGTGGACTACTGAATCTTACAAAGGCAGGCGTTATTCATCCCTGGTTGGAGTCAGACAGTCAATCTCTCGAATTCTTTTAATTTACTACTGTCTGAGCTACCTACGACTCGGCATCAGCTTTGCGAATTTCCATATTCTCTTATTTCAGTCTCGTAAATCTGACCCAACGTTGCATGAGTCAGATTTTTCTGTTGGATCGCAGAAAGTGCTCTGGATGACAGTAATAAAAAGTAACCGGCAATTTGGCTTACGTAGGCATGCAACACCAACAGCCGGTATGGCAAGCATGCACACAGTGACGCATGCAAGAAAATAAGGCCGCTGGTTTCGGAATGCTTTTATGATAAAAAGGATGCATAGAATGACTTCCTTACGAATTGGAGTATGGTTTGAGCACAGGAATTAGTGTTAGGGGTTTGGCTTTTAGATTAGGATCTAGGGATTAGACTTAGATACAGTAGCCCTAGAATCCGAAGCTACAGCACTCGCCAAGCCTTCAATCACAGGCACCAGCATTTCTCGCTAATTCCGCTTTCTGCGGATCCTGGAAGCCATTTTCAACGTCAAACTTTCTCGCCTAAAAGTTCCCTTTAGTGCCATTAATGTACGCTAAATATCCGCTAAACTCCTATCGTAAAGAAACATGACGCTCAAATTCGCAACATTCGAATTCCATATTCCAGTTGGCTAATCTAGGCTGGTCTACACTTTACATGTTTCTTATTGTTTACCTTTTTAGATTTCCCGTTTTGTTTTCGTTGCTATATGTACGGGTATTGCAAGTTTTGAGTCACACTTTGAAATACTTAACTCATTTTCCTTATTTTTTTGGAAGCTGACATATCATCAAGGTGCCCCAGACGTAAAACCCCTATTACTACCATTCTTGTAAGACAGGTGGCTGTGTCTGATTGTGCGACACTTGGGGACCTTCACTAGATCCTTACCGGCATGCGTGCAAAGAGGACATTTAAACACTATTTGGGTTATCCTCTTCCAAATTTATTTAAATGGCTTTTTAAAGTTTGTCCAACCGTCTTATATGTTGTTTAGGTGCGATTTGCTGTAATAAGTGAATGAATTAAGTAGTGAGGATTAATTACTAGCACAATCTACCAGAAAAAGTAAAATTCACGGAGATCTTGGCTGAATGAGGCTCGCAGCGTCTGGCGGGGAACTTCTGAATTCCCGAAAAGTCGCTGTCTGCTCAGATTGCAGAGTACTCAATCGGATAACGAGAAGATACTGAGTCAATTCCTTTGTAAGGCAAACGCTTTCTACCCCTATACATGCCAATATTTCCGGTTACAGTAAAAGTAAAAAATTGCCACCGAAGTGATTTGCAAACTAATAACAACTTTCCCCTGTTTAATCTGCATCGAAGTATTTTTTCAAACAAACCAAAGCCCGTTCTGACCTCCCAAACTAACCAAGTCAAGGTTTTAAATTTGCAACTCGCGACTTGGGCTGCCGTCATATATAATTCCTTAAGCCCTTTGTCTCAACACCTACTTTTCCTGATTGACATATTAAAAATCGTTCGGGGAGTTGGAAGCAAGCCAGTAAGATACAGGCACAAACTTGGATAAACAATAATTTATGAGACATTTCGACAAAGTAGAGAAAAAGGGAGAAGCATGAGAAGCCGTCAAAATTACTCAAAATGAAGTTCGAAGTGACTTCCTCGAACTCTGAGGGTGTGTCAGGGCTAACCATTTTTGAAGCGTTAATTTCGAAGTGCCTTTTTTCATACATAAAACCCCCGCATTATAAACTTAAAACGTGTTTCAGTCGCGCGAACGCAAACTGAGCTGCCCGGTGAGTGACCACTTTCAAGCATTACTTTAGCCCATCGGGTTTAGAATTTATGGGCCCTCAACACTACAGTAGATGTGCTATCTTATGAAATGTTAATCGAAATTCTGAAATGGGTGTTCGGTTTGAAAAGATAACTTAAGTAGGGTTGCAATATTAATGATCATGCGGCAGAATCCAAAATAATCCAGTCATATCAGGACGTCGGCTTTGGAACGAGCTTCCTTCCGACCGCCTGCAAAATTTGCACTTTGTAAAATGGACTACTTAAATAGTATGCCTTTTCTCTTTGATTTTCGGCATTCTTAGGAATTCAAATATATTTTGTGGAAAATATGCACAAAATATTCCTTTTTATTCATTTGGTGGCAAATTATGTCTTCATTAAGTATCAGTTTTAAAGGAAGAGAATAATGTCGTTTCAAAAACTTTCTCAATAATTTTAGATCCGACATGTCACCATACTTGCATTTAGAGTTTCTAAACTTCAAGTTGTTCATCTTCTCTGTAAGAAAAGTCATGTATTTATATACGCTATTGCACAGATACCGTGTGGGGCACATAGAAATTTGTAATGAATTGAAACCATAGTGTATACTTCACAAGCAACATTAATAACTGAAGAGTTATGGCATTTTATGAATGAACATTTCACGGCCCCAACAATCTCAGTTAATTCCTCCTTTTTTCTTTCAGTCTAAAATTCCAAGAAGATGTGGTCTGCCACCAAATGAGTGAAAGGGCAAATATTTTTAGCATTTTTCTATAAAATATATCTGAATTTATAAGGCCATCGAAAAACAATGCGAAAAATTTCCACTAGCTAAGTAGTCATGTTCTACGGAGTGTAGCTGTCGCAGATGGCCGGAAGGACTCTCGTTCAAAAGCTGACATCCTGACGTGACTGAAATATCTTAGGATTATGCTACACGGTAAACAATATATCAACCTTACTTAAACAATCTTTTGGAGTCGAAAACGCATATCGGATTGACGGTCAACATTTCGTTTCATAACAAGTCCACTGTACGGCTGGCCTCACGTTAAATTCTAAGGAGTTCCTATTCCCATGTTCCGACTTTAGCCTTAATTTTAGCACCAACCCTCATCCTAATTCCAACCTTAACAATAGCCTAAACATAACTCTACATGAAATTTAGGTCAAGCCCACCTATAACACAGGGGGTCCATCTTCTCGTGGCCGACCAGGCAGATGGATAGAATCGTAGTGACGGGGAAAGCAGGAGACGCCCTGATAACCGCAGCCGACTGTGACTTGATCTTCTGCAGATATCTTTTGTGAAAATTAGTCTTGATTCCATCCTATGCTGGTTGGTACTACCTCACCGCAGCCACCGCGTCCTTGGTAATGGAGCCAAGATAACAGCCCGTGCATTAACCTGCCCTTGATTGACAGCCAAGTTATTCTTGGCGGCAGTCTTGATTAAACAGAACCGTTTAAGAGCACAGCTAATCGGACTTTCTGCAGGTGACGTAAAACTCACCAAAAAACTGCTCTGGAATTCTTGTGAGGATGCATTAATTGTCACGGTGCCATTTTCAAACTCAGGCGCCATCTTCCCCTTTTGTCCATTCACGGCCGGTTTTCTACGTTAAGGCTGGAACCTGACTAGTTGATGGATCCTTGAAAGTAGCTCTTGTACGTAAATTTCTGAAGAAGGTGGGGGCGTGCGTAAATCTTCGAACGTAGAACTAAGCAGAGATGTATTTTCGCTTTTATTCGGATGGTGGTGTTTGGAAAACTTTGTTTTTGAAAATGTTCCTAATAAGGAAGCACAAGCATATCATTTATTAATTCCATCTTTGACGCCAACCAGGGGACAAATCTCTGGCGATAAAGTCAACTTCAAACTCCCTGGAAGGATTAAAAAGCTAGGAGAAATAACATCATGAGTCATTTTTGTTTTTTCTTGCATCATTTTGGTGTTTGCCCCTTATCATAGCAAACGACGATAGGTATAAAAAAGCTTTGACTGGAGTGGAGCTTTATCGGAGGAAGTAGCGTTTAACGAGGGCATCCAGAGACTGGCAGGTCCATTTCAGAAGCAAACAAAGTTGGATGACTCATCCTGAAAACAGCAACCCGTTCAAAACCGATATTCTTGCCGGCAACCCCGGGTGATGTGTTTGCTCATGAACAGTAGAACCCAGACTTAACACAGTATTCGCCAGCTTCTGATTGGACAGTCGAAACTGTAGGTGAAAAGTGTGATCCCTAGCAGAAGTACACTGGTCGAGGATATTTCCACTTCTGCTATCTTGTACGTAAATCTAACCTTCGCATTTATCGGTACAAAAATCGAATCAGTTGGCAACCGTTTGGTCACTGTGCTGGTGAAATTTAATTGATATTTCCGAAGTAGTCGGTGAACTGTCATTCCTTACTTTGGAGGCTTGGGAAGATTTTCTTATCGTTTTGGCCAGCGTGAAAGTCGTCTGCCAAGAGATCCATTTCCATCTGAGCTGATCCATCCTGGTGTCGATTGGTAGCGGCAACTACTCAGTGACCGGGAATGACTGCAGGCATAATGTGACTTTTCAGCCGGCGTAGTCTATGCGAAGGCTGTTAGATAGCATCAAAGGAAGAGGAAAGCGAATACAATGCAGGGCAAAACGAAATTACAAAGGACTGCTGAATCCACTTTGAAGTACTGTCCATTAAGACCTTGAGTTTGCAAACATTGAAAGCTATTTTGAACCCTGAATTGTTTTCGTGCCAGTCGGTGGTCATCATTGATGAGCTGATTACACTGATCATAAATACAAACTAAACTATCCCAGTTACTAACATATTATCAGTAAGCACGTTTGACTTGTATGAAATCACACACAAAAGAAAAATTGCAGTTTGCCTTGACTCGGTAACCTGCATTAGACATCCTTCCTGAAATGCTGATATCCCATGTCTTTGGTCTTATACGCGGTCATCAACGTCATGAACTTTATTATGTGTTCGTTTACGGACCCCCTTGGCCCATTGGAGTCATCTGTGAGTTCATTTACATCAAAGGCTGATGTATTTTATCTACGACTTGTCCATGTCTTTCGAAAAATCTCACTCTAATGGGGAGCCTGAATGTTCTGTGCGTCGTCTGGTTTAACTAGTTTTCATTTTTTTTCTTGGCCGAATGTAGACCATCATCTCCCTTCTGCCATTCGCGACTTGACCTGAAGTTGATAGTGGTTAAGGTACACCTAGGACTTTAGGAGCTTAGACAATATAAAATCCGCGGCCATAGCAATGCTCTGGACTGTTTAGATTCGAAGAAAAGAACCAACATTAACACAATAGGAGATCCAATGCGGATGGTGGGGTTTTCACATGATTAGATTTCGCAATTGTTTGAAAATTTACCGAGGTTGGAAGGACGTCCAAACTTCCATTTCCAACGTTTATTTTAAAGGCCTCGGCTGTAACATATAGATAAACTGATCCTGAGCTTTCAGACTCGTACAGAAGTCCATCGTCAGAGGTAGTGGCAGAAACAGGACAAGCGGCAGTTATAAGGCACGTAGACCCAATCATTGACCGACGTCGCACGACTGGAGGTGACTACGAAGGGCTCTGTACGCCGGGGCCAGATCGATAAATCGATTGACCGAGTTCTCATCCGAGGCCCAGGCTTCAATCAATTCTCGGCCTGTTTTGTTTCCGGCGTGGGCAACTATTTTGGTGGCTGCGAAGTCAAACTCGTGACCCATTTCGTAGGTGTGGGCGGCCACTTGTGACAATGCGTCGCCTCGCCCTACAGCCAGCTTATGTTCATGTATGCGCGGTCCGAGCATGCGCCCAGTCTGTCCTGTGTAATTACAAGGACAATTTTGACACGGAATGCGATACACTACTCCAGATTGCTCTTCGGGTTTTAACCGGTCTTTGATCTTCATGACCCTGTTGCGCATGGTGGCTTTGGGGCGGTGTGCGATTCCAACCCCTAGCTCCGCAGCAATGCGCTCGGTCGCTTCTGAACTCAATTATGGTCTGGTAACCAAGTGCCTCCTCGAAGCCGAGGCCTGTTCGACTACTGGCTTTTCATTTTGCAAAGCCTGTCATTTGTCAGATCCTGACTCTGAAGCAGCGAACGATTTTCTACTATAATGGCGTAGTTTCCTTCGATGAAGCCTTCCACACTCCTTTTATCCTTCATTTTTAGTTCTTCCCGCTGACGGAGACAAAGGGATGCTACCCGATTGCCACAACTTTTCGCGGCGAGTTACCAGCACCTGGCAGACCCTGGGAGTACTACTACAATCAATTTGTCTACCAGTCCGGCCTGAACACATCATCTTCCAGTTTAGGCGAACCACATGAAGGCTGTTGGAGCGAAGGTCTGCGCGGTGATGCCACAACGGATCTCACAACTGCTGGTCTGAGTTCTGACGCTTCTGCTGAACTACCTTTTCTGATGAACGACACATTAGCTCGGAACAGTGCGGCCTCCAGTCACCAGCTACTTCAATTTCGAAATCCGCAACAGAAACTTTGACCAGACGTCCTTATACTTCATTTATTTTGTGCTTCAAGTACATACTTATATTTTACAAGTAGAACTCGGTTGTTTTCTACGTTATCTCAACAAATGACGCCACCTGCTCAGACCACTTCCATGTGCATTTACTCCTTTACTTGCTCCTGTGGAGCAAGCTACATTGGTCGTACGAGTCGGCGCCAATCCGCAGGAATACGAAATGACGCTTAGTTAAAGAGTCGCCCTGGAACGAATGTCACTAGGCAAGACACGGGAATGGGAGCTCCATGCAACACAGGTGGTCATACGCTGTTTCCGTGTCCTAAATCTACCCTAAAAAGCTAATTCTGTCTTGTAGTCAGTCATGATAAACAACTGCATACAACAGAGTCGTTTTAAAAGTTGCGGCTCTCTGAGTAGAGTGCAGAGCTTAACCCTGCATCGTGGGATGTCTTTCGGTATTACGACATCGGGTGTTATTTCGTGTTTTGGCGCTATTTTTCTGTGCATAGAACACTTACTTATGACTCAAAATAAAGCAAGGTCTTCATCCTTTTCAAGAAAACTCCTAATATGGAATCTTGGGAGACAGTCGTAACGTGGACAAAGGAAGGGAGCAATTTTCTAATAGTGTGTTTTGTGAAGGCACACCAGGTAAGTGCGCATTATTCTGTCGGATGAGTTTTTATGGACAGAGAATTTCAGTTAGTTACAGTTCGAACATCCAAGTAAAACCGTTTGTTGTTCACTCTTGTTTAACAGAACAACAGTGGTGAGCAGTTCCTATGAATTCAGTATTATTCGAAGTAGATGACATACTTATTTATGATGTAACAGTCGCCCACGGATCCAGTCGGCTTTTCGAAGCAAACCAGTTTTTAGTCCGGTGATAGGGCTCACAACTAAAAATCTGACAGTGCAGCGAGCCCGCGGTTCAGTGATTAGTAATTAACAAGTCGAGAGCCCGGCCCCCAGAAGATCCGCACCTCGAGATTGCGTGTGGCTGGCTGACGACGACTAATACACCGGAAATGGCCATTCCAATCTCCCTTGTCTTCGTTGGTTACGTTATTCTACCTATACCACGCGGCGCTGTGCGGCTGCTGGTGGGCCTCAAGAGAGAGCCCGTAAGGCACAACGGAAGGAGTGAGTTCCGTAAGAACGATCGGCGGGCCCCCTTCTACTAGAGCGTGGGTTTGTTTTCGGCGAATTCTAATCAGGCTAGTACGATGTCGAACAAAACATGTGAGAGATAAGAGAAGTCAATTAAAATTCGTCTTTTCTCACGAGTCGGATGGGGAAGTATGGGGGGGGGGATGCAGTAAGAGGCAGTGAGAATTAGAAAGGGCCGTGTCGACGGGGTGAGAGGGGTAGGGCGCAGAGAACTGAGCGCAGTTAACCAGCCTTTGGCCACAGTAAGTGTGGGGCTTGCACGATGTGCTTCTGCGCGCGCAAGTCCAGTTCGCGTAACCTGATAGCAGGCGCTTCTGCTTTTGCTAGCAGATGTTGACACAGTGGCTTAGGGCACTTCAGTGAGACCTTATAAATCCCACGAAGGACTTCGTTGGTGTCTACATAACGCCTGGAATCAACAATATGAGCGGGAATGGCACTGCTTATGCTCCTAATTTCGCCTTTCTCCAACCACAACCGAAAATATTCCCCTGTCTTCTTAAATAGGCGGCGTCTCGTGCGACCGATATAGCCTCCTCCACAGAAGCAAATGATTGGGTAAATGCCCACTCGGGTCTTCAGAGTTGGAAACGTATTTTTACCTTCGCCCGAAATCTTGCTGCTGGGAGGTTTCGTGAAACAGGTCGGTTAAGGCGCTTTTTTCAGGAGTTTATGCGCCATGTCACATTGAAAGGGGATTTTGAGGAACCGAGTTTTCATTTCTGTCGTCAGTGTGATGGGTTTTTCTGGTCCCTAGATAATATACTATTTAAATTCATTTTATAAGTATTGATGCTCTAGTTCCGTCCTCGACAGACGGATGACTGCTCCTGTACAGTACCTTTTGTCTTCTTCTTATTGTTCTTCGAAGGAAGCCTCAACGGGGTACGTTAGACCAAAGTTGGGTCATGAGAAAAACAGGGCATCTAGCCAAGAATGTGTTAGATATGGAAAGCTATCCAAGAAATTTTAAAGTGTCCACTGACATTGTAACCCTTTCCCTGAGTTCCCATACCCATAACTAACGACTGAGACGTGCTGTAAGAACGATATGGTCTCCGGTTGTATGCATGACAGCATACACAATCATCCCAAAAAACCAGTAGGCATGCAGGGAGTGGCATATTAGCATGTTATACATGAAGAAACTCGATTAACTGCAAGCATTTGGGAAATAACGTTGCTGGAGCACTTTTAAGATAACAAATGCCAAGTTTGCATGCCTCGAGGGTGCAAGAACTCACAAACGTGTCCCTAATTAGCATATCAAACAGACTACATCCATCGCGAGGGAACTAGTCACTTTCAAGTGACGGATCATATGACCATTTAAAAAGTCTTAGCAGGTGCTGTTTTAATGACCAACTCCACCGTCTGCAGTATTTTAATAGTGCATCGGCTACCCGTGGTGCAATCATAAAAAGCAACAGGTGGGCCAGACAATGCGTCGGTAAACGGTGAAATGATAAAATAGTTTCGTCTGGCTCTTCTGAAATAAAGATTAGGAAATCCCGACCATCTTCATTTACCCCTAATTTGGGCGAAATCAGCTCCACAAAATGTTTATTGAAAAGGGACTCATCGCACCAGGCATGACCATCAGCGTTCAATGAAGGAACCGCTGATAGTGATATGCAAATGTTCTCTTAGCGACTGCAACCCTTGGGCTTCCATCACCGTTATCTACTGATGTATTTGTTGGTACGTTCAAGAGGGAGTCTGGTTCTGCCAGCGTTAGGGTGATAATAAAATGGACAAGGAAACTCTTGCGTGGGGAAAAATTAAAATTGGCAAAATTGATTTTTTGAAAGGCAAGCTTGTTCAAATAAGTGCACCTGAAAAAATTGGACACATTCGTCCTCAGGAAATACTAATTTGTTACTAATTACGTAGATGGAAAGACGCGCGAAACATAAACTGACATTTTTAAATGTGACCGCGCTTACAAATCAGCATTGCGTACCTTTAAAATACTCCTTTGAGAACAACATGATCCCCATAGACTCCCGGTGTTGTCCACAGAAGGAGTATTTTTCTTTAACATGAAAAAATCACGTCGCCTAACACCGACTGCTTAAGATGCCTGCATAAATCAAGTCCTATTTTCTCGAGACTGTGTACAAAACAGTGTTTTTATATTCATTCTTTCCGAACTCACGTCCTATTCCTATGCTCTGTTCGCAAAACGGACATCTGTTTGCTTTTAAGGAGCCTATAACAAGGGGGAATTGTGGGATGCTGAGATAATTATTCAAATGGCATGGTGTCTGCACATTTAGGAGTACAATGGTACAGGGGCGCTCACAAATAGTTCTTACGGAAATCACTCTTCCCATTGTGCCTTACGGGTTCTCTCTTGAGCTCAACCAGCAGTCGCGCAGCGGCACATGCTATAGGCGGAATGTTATTGGACCATTGCTGGCTTATTAGCCATTGTCAGCCAGTCATACCCAACCCCGAAGCGTGGAACACCTAGGACTCGATCCTGCGACCTGTTAGTTAGAAGTCCAACGCCTCTAACCCCGGAGCCACGGGCTAGTTATCGTGTCGGTTTCGATCGGGACTGTACAATGGTAAGAGTATTTTAGGGGTACATATTTTGGACCGTACGAAGGGGTCCATACGTACTGCAAAATTTTGGGGGTTCATTTGACTTCTTAACGATGATACAAATGGGCATACCGTCCCGTCTAGATGGAAAAGTGGATATACGGCATGTAATGTTGAAAATCCAAGTGCCATTACAACAGCAAGTTAAGGTTAAAATAGTATAGTAACTTGTGTCATTTTAAAATTGGGATGAATCATTCTTCAATCAAGAAATCCAAGGAAGATGCTACGGCCTACGGAAAGGAGTACAAGAAAGATTTCCCTATAAATACTTTCCGCGGAAGATGGCTGAATTTAATGTGTTAATAAGTAGTCGTTTTCCGAGTAGGCAGGTTTTTGTTTGGTTGAATGATGCAGATCTAGACGCCAGCATCTGACTGTGCTGCCTGCTGGTCAGGATTTCAGCCACATATGAGCGATTGTTTCTAACTACAACCGTATTTTAGGGCCCCAGTACTTCATAAGCTTTGCAACTTACTGTGAACTAGTTGTAAATAAATTAATTTTTACCCATCTAAAAACTCCGAAACGCCCTAACTCCTCCAAAAGAGGTTGCTGATGACGACCTGATTAGGAGGTGTTTTCCCTAATATTTGCATTCGAGGGCGGCTGTTTCGATTCACCCCAGACGCATCAATTTGGGAATTGTGTTGGACAGTGATTGAGGTTGTCCGCAAAGGCGGATATTAGCGCATTGTTCCCGACTACTTTTTCACAGGTAGCCTTCACTGAAGGTCACCCAGCCATCCTGTGGATGCGTCGGATTGCACATAGGCAGGCTGAAAAGTAGACCCCGCTGATTCTGGATGAAATGCTTAGGCAAATTCGGATTCCCTAATGACAGGAAATTAAATTCTCCGTTTTGCCCTTCAGAAGAAAATCGGAACCTCTATAATAAATGGATCTACATGCAGGCAGACGTAACCAGGCTCTCGTGAATTTTCTACGCCTCAAAGACGAGAGCTTAACGACCGGCAACCCATTAATGACCAAAAAATAATAATTAAAAATTACAGAGAAGTCCTAATACTGGGCTTGGACGTGATCGATCTCATGAAATGTTGGCCGAAATTCTGAGATGCGTTTTTGACTAGGAAGGATTAATAAGGTGGCGTTGTAACATTAATTATCATATAGCATAATCTTATAGTATTTCGGACTCGCCGGGATGTAGGCTTTTGAAAGCACTTCTTTCTGACCTCCCGTAGAGACCGTACCTGGTAAAAAATGAATAC